AAATTGGTCTCTGGTAGAAGCTTGGGCAGTCACGGGTTTCTCAGTCAGGAGATTCTGTAAGAATTTTTTCAGACAACAGTTAATTAATCATAGTGCAAGGAGGGCATGGGAAGATGAGCTGGTGAGTTCAATTCTCATTTTAGGTGTCCGGGTCCATTGAGGTTCTGGTTATGTCCTCAATGTGTCTTTGAGGAACAGGATATTACTTTAGAAAAAAGGAAAAGGTATGGAAAAATCCAGAACCCCTTTTAGGCCTCCCAAACCTCTAGCTATAGTGGAACTAGAAACATTTCTGGATTAGATAGTCTTGACATTCCTATCCTCAGGTAGGAACAAACTTACTCCCAGATTTAATGGAATTTCCAGCTCTTAGCAGGAAAGAAACTGTTCATTATTCTTTTGGGGTCTTTACCCTAAACCGTCTAGTTAATTTTTACCTCCTATTTTAGTACTTCTCCCTATGAAAAGGTAACCCTAGTTTCCAATAGAAAATTTGACATCATTCTGTCTTCTTTGATGCTGAATGGGCAAAGAGCATGGCAAGTGGGGTACCCCTTCAGTGGGTCTATCTAAAAGACTACCCAAATATGTAACTGTTAGTCCTTGATGGGTATCTGGGAGGAGAAGTAAGACAAGAGTGGGTAGGCACAGTTTTTAGGCAGGGAACCATGAGAAATAAATGTCCAAACTAAAGTTTATTAAAGTTTTCTGATGAGAGCTTCCAGGAGTATCTATCCACTGGCCCATTGTCTTTTGTCCTGGTTGTCATGGCTGGACTCCAGATCTGTTTTTCAGACACATTGGAATGGCTAGAATCACAGTGTGAGTTCCCTCCCAAAGGACTTCTGGATAGGAAAGAGAAGAAATTTAGTTATCATTTAATTTTGATAAGAACAATAGTGGACCTGTTCCCCTTTGGCTGTAGGTGGCACAAAATTCTAGTGGTAATTTGTAAATAATATTGTATATGAATTTTTAAACCTAATGTCTGAGAAGTATAATCTTTTTGGACTTTAAAAGAAATATACTGGTTATTTTAATTTTGGGTTATACTTTCCTTTTGGGTATTTAAGACCATACAGCTGGCCCAAATTTAACCAAGTTTTTGTTTTATTGTGAAGGTCAATTGAGGCTGTGATCCTCAGGAATCACTTGGGCTTTGGGGGGAGCCTTTGGCTTTCCTTTTACCAGTTCCATTTATGTGAGGATAAATCCTGCTTGACCCTGGCTTTGCTTGGAAGCATGGAAGAAACGTTTTCCTGTGCTGACCCTCCTCCCTGTAGACTGGACACTGGCCTGAGTCCCTCTAGTGGGATCTCCATGACCTCCCTGAACAAGAGGACAGGTGACTCACCACGGTTACAGGACATTTTGAGAGATACCCCATATTTCCCTGGGACTTAGTTGACCTTGGAAGGCAAGGAATAAAACTATCCCTTAAACCCCTTTGACCAGATTAGTATAGGCCTCTAAGTATGGGTTTTAAACATCCAAGAAGGTTAGTTGCACCAGTCTGGTACCTTTGATTACTGTGTAATATGTAGATATAACTTGAACAAAAACTTAAACATTTTCAAATAAACAATGAGTGGAAAAGATTTAACATTATAGATCAAGTAGGCATAGTCCAGGAAAGGGATTCAAAATAATTCTCTCAGGTCTGTCTCCAGACCCTGAAGACATAAAAAAGAAAAAGAAAAGAAGAAAGGTGTAGTTTTCTATGGCTACTTTTGTTTGATACTGATGAAGTGAAGGGTGGGGTGGGTCATATAACATACCTATAGATAGGAAATAAACTGATCTGGATTTCGATCAAACCCATGGAATGAAATTGTTTTCTTTTGGACTGTCCCATTTGGTTCTGGGAAGTAAAACCTAGTTTTTATGAACCAAATTATTTTGTTATGGGTGAAGGAAAATACCAAAAGCAACACTTGTATAATACAGAGAAACATAAAAGGACATTTTTTAGTCATTACAGGTAACTCCAATACTTGTTTGCACACATCTAATTCCAGACTGTGACTAGGCATATAGCACAAGTCAGAGAAGTAGACTGAAAAAAGATTTTTTTTTGCTGAAACAGTAATTATTGTAACAACAATAACAACCTTGTATTTCCATAAATTTACTCAGACTTTTAACAAAACTTCTTAAACATTTTTAGTATTTCTTCCTTTCTGGAAATATCCAGCCATGTTAATTTTATTAACTTTGACCTTCCAACTCTCTTTTTAAAAATATTTTTCTTGATACCCTGAGATATAACAT